TAAAATGATTATAAATTATTGAAACTACTAAACATCTCTCATTAAAAAAAAATCATTGGTGTAAAGTTTTGTTACACAAATATGAAAATAATCATAAAATCATATGAGTAGAAACCTCATTTAATAAATATCCATATTAAAAGTGTGTTATATTACTATGTTTATATCATTTAAATTTAATTATATATCATATACAATATATAAGATTAATTATTTTGATTTATTTACCCTTATTGTGAATAAACAGGAGTAATAGTTAAATTTATATGTATACGCCGATTTATTACATAATAGTAACTGATTTCTTAGTTATTTAATATATATTTATTATTTTATTATTTATAATATGCAGAAAATATAAATTAAATAATAAATATAAAATACTTATTGTGCATAAAGTGCAGATCTTAACCTAAGTATGTATCTATTTAATTATTTTAAATCTTAAGTATTTTCTAAAACACTTGAAATGAGAATAAAATTCAAATAAATATTTATATCGAGTAATAACCAAAATATAAAAAAACATAGCAAGAGAAAAATGGAAGATAAATAAGACAAACACGTGAACGTGAACTTCTCATAACCATAATTAATTTTTAAATTGTTAAATCATAATATAAAACTGAGTTAATTTTTAATTTGTTAATTTTTAATTTTTTTAAATCATTATGGTTATGTTAAATCATGACCATAATTAATTTTAAATTGTTTATTTGTATTTGAAAAACTTAAATTATTGTTTTTAAAAATAATTTAAAATTTAACATAATTTTTTATAAATTATTTTAAAAAAAATAATTTGTAAAAAATATAATTTTCTAATATTATTAGACAGATAAATAAATTATATTAAATTAGTTTTGAAACTTTATATATTTTAAATGCAAATATTTTACCAATTGCTTCTTAAAAAACATTAAGGAACCTGCTAATACTCTACCAATCAAGCCCAGTGACACTCCATTTATTTTCCATCACTCGAAAACTTAAAAGTGAAAAGATATATGAAATCAGATCCATTAAATTCTAAGATTTGATCTATATTTCTAACTAAAATTGTTTCTGATCCTACGTATAGATAATTATATAAAAATTTCAAAAATTTTAAATTTCAAATACATACAAAAACAATCATATGTAAATTTAAATTTGTCATACTAAATTTTTATATTTTAATTACAAATATTCACCATGCGCAAGGTGCAGGTCTTATCCTAGTCTACTGTTATATTGTAATCAATCGATTAATAATTGTGTTCAAAAAAAAAAAGAACAATCGATTAATAACTAACTAGATCATGACCCGCGAAAATGCGTGGTTTTATTTTTGGAGGTATTCTATATAATTTAGATTTTAATAGTTCGAGTTTGTCTAATTCTATTTTATATTTAAAGAAAAATATCAAAATTGTTTCTGTATTAATAGCGTTCAGGATTGTATTACGTAGATATAACCGTGCAGTGAAAACATTAATTATGTACGTTTGTTCGAAATGCAAAATTAAAGTTAAACTTAACTGTTTGCGTTTTGATGATTAGTTGAGAGTTTAGTTACTTCTGATTAGACCTGAGACTTAATATCCGCTATTTGTTATCCAGTCTGGGTATGTTCCGATCCGCTCTGAATAAACGGATATCCGAGGGTCCAGATCATGTAGTGAAGTTATGGATCCGGATAGTGAAATTTAGGTCTGGATATCCGGATCCGGATCCACTATACATTTTAAAAATAATTAAAATATAATTATATTTATAGATGTATACTGTATATATATAATATTTCTATAAAATAAATAAATTTATTTTTTTATTAATTTCAATGATTTTGACCCGCACTTAAGAATGTTACAAATGTTTTATTAATCTATAAGAACTTTAACTATTGAAAACATTTTACATTCAAATTAATCATCATTTTTAATCCCGATTTGAACATGCGGTCAAACAGGTAAATCCGGTGATTTGATATATCCCGGTTTGGATTTTAATGAAACTATTATTTAAAAGTCCGATAAAATCCACAAAAATTTCTTAAATCTGAAACTAACTGTTTAAGCCGATGGGTAGCCGATATGAAATCCAAAGTTATAATAATTATGTTCATATGAAAATCAAAATAGTATAACTGGTTATGTTTACTTTAAAATATTTAAAACTGAAATTAGGTATAATTAATCTTTTTAACTTTTTCATGTTGATTAATGTTTATGTTAATATGTTATAATTAAATAATCAAATATTTTTTCAATTTATTTTTTATTTGATAATTATTTTGTACGCCTCATAGAATAATCCACAAAATTTTAAACTCTAAAAACATCTAACATAATTTGTAATAATATAACCAAATATTTTAAATATTAATTAACTTTTAGTATTTTAGTTTTAAGTAAATATTTTTTGTATCCAAGTAAATTTATTTTGATTCTTATTTATAATTTTTTTGAAGAAAACATAAGCATTATTTGTTAAAAACTGAAACGTTCTTTATAATTAATAACAAATCAAAAATTTTAATTGTAACCGAGATTTTCTGTTTAAAAAAAAACATGTACTGGAGATATTCCTAAAGAATAAGAAGATATATATCTAAATTCAATGTTATTTAATAGTTGAATGCGGATATATGACTAACTTCCTAAACGTGAAGTATAATTATCTTCTTATTAATTATAAGATACCGAAATATGAGTAACTTCCTAAAGAATAGACACCCCCGAAATATCATCTATACTATTAAAAATGAAGGAACCCTTGAAAAATCGACTGATGGAAGTTGTGTGCACCTTTCATTAATGGCATTTTGATAATTTATTTTCCGTCTTACATCTATATATATATATGGATTTGTTACAAATCATATCACATATTGCATATACCCGAATTATTCTCTCTCTTCCCATTAATTACTCTAACCATTAATTATTATCTCTCTTCCTATTAATTACCCTAACCATATTTTATACTATATTTCATACATTTATTGATTTCCAACATTGTACTACATGATTTGGTATATGCATCATATATGGACTTTATAACCACATTTCATACTATATTTCATACATTTATATTGTATTATACACCTTATATTACATGATTTCAATCTATAGATTTCAGTATTATACTTTTATGGTTGACTTTTTTGATATATAAATCATATATGGACTTTATAATCATATTCCAAATTATATTTCATACATTTATATTGTGTTATACACATTATATTACACGATTTCAATCTATATATTTTCGACATTATACTTTTTTGGTTAACATTTTTTGGTATATGCATCATACATGGACTTTATAAACCTTCATTTCATTTATATTGTGTTATAGACCTTCATTTCTTGATTTATCTTCATATATGAAATATGTTTTCATGTCTCACTAAATTTACCCGTATTTATATACAATACTATATTTCATACAATTATATTGTGTTATAGACCTTATATTAGATGATTTCAATCTATATATTATTAACACTATACTTTTTTGGTTGATATTTTTTGGTATATGCATCATACATGCACTATATAAACTTTCATTTCATTTATATTGTGTTATAAACCTTCATTTCATGATCTATTTTCATATATGAAATATTTTTTCATGTCTCACTAAATTTACCCATATTTATAAACCATACTATCTTTCATACATTTATATTGTGTTATAGATCTTATATTACACGATTTCAATCTATAGATTTCCAACATTATACTTTTTTGGTTGACATTTTTTTGTATATGCATTATACATGGACTTTATAAACTTTCATTTCATTTATATTGTGTTATAGACCTTCATTTGATGTTTTTCTTCATATATGAAATATGTTTTCATGTTTCACTAAATTTATTTGTATTTATATACCATAGTTAGACCACATATAGTGATATCAACCAAAAAATATATATCATCACTCTCATGTTGACATTTAATGGACGAGATACGTTTTGTTAAGAAAATATTGCAAATTCGGTTTTCTATAATTATCTTCTTACTAAAATAAAGAAATTGCTTTACCTACAAGTTATAGATTAACCACAATCAATATCGTAGATTCCATAAATTTTGGTAACTTACCATAGTTAAATTACCATTAACTGTTAAACTTTAAACTTCCTAACTATTCAAAATCTTCATGAAATATTCCTTATTCCTCGAAAGAGATATTTTAAAAATCGTATGAAATATTCTCCCCTATATTCGCGTAACCTAATTGTATATCGTCCCTACCTATTATAAATATAGCATCTCTTAACCATTATATTTATCATCCCTTCAAAACCCTAAAACAAAAATGGGGAATAATTTGCAGGTGTCTATCTTGAGCGATATAAAAGTGAGGAAGACTAATATTGCAAATACGGTTTTCTATAATTATCTTCTTACTAAAATAAAGAAATTGCTTTACCTACAATTTATAGATTAACCACAATCAATATCGTAGACTCCATAAATTTTGGTAACTTACCGTAGTTAAATTACCATTAACTGTTAAACTTTAAACTTCCTAACTATTCAAAATCTTCATGAAATATTCCTTATTCCTCGAAAGATATATTTTAAAAATCGTATGAAATATTCTCCCCTATATTCGCGTAACCTAATTGTATATCGTCCCTACCTGTTATAAATATAGTCTCTCTTAACCATTATATTTATCATCCCTTCAAAACCCTAAAACAAAAATGGCGAATAATTTGCAGGTGTCTATCTTGAGCGATATAAAAGTGAGGAAGACTGCTGTCGCATCCAAGTCATAATCCTTCATACGTGGAGACATTTCATGAAAGACTAAGGGAGTCCATGGAACTAATCCTTTGTGATGGAAATGTAAATTTATCCTTTTGTGTAGATTTTTGATTTAGATATCTTCATTTCGTTAAAGTTTAACATAAATGATAATGTTTTATGTTTATATAGGGAAGTAAGATCCATGCCTCGTGTAACAAGACATACATTTCTCGACTGGCAAAAGAAATTACTCAAATGCTTATGATTTTTTTTTGGTTATAAGTGAGATCCAAATCTCAAATGCTTATGACGTAAGTCAGATGTTTGTTAATCCTGAAATACCAGAGACAAATGAATTTAAACAACGGTATTTATGTTTTTCAATGTTTTCACTTTATAATAGTATAGACTAAATTATAAAACTTATTTATAATCGCAGAGGTAATGATGATTCTCGAGCGTTAACCATGGCTGAATCAGAACCGCAGAGGTAATGTTGATTCTCCATCGATCCGTTTTAGGATTATGTTTGTTTAGAAATATTTTTTTTTAGTTATGTTTTGACAATCTTGTAATGATGATTCTCGAGCGTTAATCCTGGCTGAATCAAAATCGCAATTTGTTTTCACCCAATAATTTTCATTTTAAATAATATTTGCTTTTTTCTTGACGATTTATTGACTGATTTATATATATATGCAAAATACATAGTGTTGTATAAAACAGATCAATATACTATGATATAATAAACGAAAATTGATTTATACTATATTTGATGCATAATGAAACAGAAAATTAGATACTTTGAGTAACAAATCTCATTTGTTACTCCAGAATCTTGCAATATTTAAATTATACCTTATATACTTGGAGTTATCTTTGACTCTCATAAAAAATTATTATTGAGTTACCTTTGACTCTCATAAATAAGTTACCTTTGACTCTCATAAATTAATTTAATATTTTATTTTATGGTCAACAAAAAAATGCCCGCTTCTTAAGCGCGGGTCAAAATTGAATATTATTTTTATTGTTCAAAAATCACAGATATAATTATTTTAACTAACGAAAATAAACTATATAAGAAGCGCAGGTCAAAATTGAATATTATTTTTATTGTTCAAAAATCATAGATGTAATTATTTTAACTAACATAAATAAATTATATAAGAAGCGCGGGTCAAAATTGTATATTATTTTTATTGTTCAAAAATCATAAATGTAATTTTTTAACTAACATAAAGAAACTATATAATTCGATTAACATATTTATTGGATTTAACTACAAATTTGTAATACAATTTTGGGCATTTTCAATAGTATTGATTTTTCTAATTTTGGTTTCAATCTAATATGTGTTTTAATTCTTCATACTCTCACAACACTTAATTTTTTGATTCTCGGTTCAATCACAAACTGGCTCGGTTATGCAAAACTCAATGAAAAGATCCTACTAAAACGTTAAATATACATCAAATTTCACATATAAACTATCATATAATAAAAATAGAATCATTTGATACATTTTGTTACAACCAAAATAAAACCCGCGCTTCTCAAGCGCGGGTCAAAATTTAGTATCATATTATATAGTAATAATACTAATTAAACATATAATATTACATTAATAATGTAAGGTCCAACTTAAAAATCTTATCTAAAATAAGTTGTGATGTTTCTGATTTAATAATATAGATTCATATACTGCCATTTTTAGATACACATGAGCATCTTTATCGCTGATAAAAAGTGGGTTCCTTAAAAAAATTATGAACTGATCCCCACAAAAAACATAATACCATTAACCCAAAACCCCAATTAAGGGTGCTTGTTTTATTATTTTTTTCTCACTAAAAAGAATTAAAAAAAATCAATTGGGAGCCACCACGTGTCAGTAGGGTCTGCGAACAGTGCAAACAACCCACTTAATTGAGCGCTTATTTGGGAGCAACAAGTACCTTTTGGGTTTTTTTGTGGGGCCTACACTAATATTTCTCTAAGAACCCATGTGTTAAAGGTGTTGTAAGACTCGGCTCTTCCGTGTGCAAAATAAGGAACATTGTTTATTCGATTCTTGCACTGTTCGCGGACTCCACTGACACGTGGCGATCCACGATTGATTAACTTTTTAATGTGTTTTTCAGAAAAAAAAAAATCAAATAAGAACCCCTAATATGGGGTTGTATGATAAAGATGCTCTAACATCCATACAGTTCATTTCATACAATCAGCTCCAAACTATAGTTCCTATTCCAGTTTGATTTTAATTAGTTCGGTTTGGTTTTACCGAATTGAACACCTTAGATCATATACCATTCCAACTATACTTTAATTAATCCTTATATATTAATCAAGAAACATTATAAAAAAATTTTATAGCCATGTGTCACAAAGAGAATGGTTTTTAGAATTCTTTGAGAAATATGTTGGTCCAACTAAACATATGTTATATTTTTATTAAACTAACTATCATATTTAATTAGTAGTGTATAAGAGAATATTCTTTATTCTTTCCTTAAATAAAAACTACTAAATTAATTAATATGATTAACATATATATCACAATTAATGATTATGAATAATAAATACTTGATAACAAATTTTTATCCTCTTTACTTTTTATTTAATTTTATATTATTAAAAAATAAACAATCACATTAATCATATAATAAAAAAATTAAGATTTCTTCTTATATCTTATATTTTGAAATTTTTAAAATGCCCACAAGTTACTAAAAATTGTAAAAATCTCACGTTGAAAATTTTGTGATCAATTGTAAGGTTTTTTAATGGGCGTTAAAAATTTAATGATTAACTAAATGGACCGCGTACATAATAGAGTGTGTTTGGTTTAAAATTTGTTACATAGCCAAAATCAATATAAACCATCATCCCTTTCGTTTAGAATTTTGTTACAATAAAAAATATAGTGTTGGCCAAAAAAATCTAAATCCAAATAACCAAACTAAATCTAATCTAAAAAAGTAGTATAGAACTTTAAGAAAAATTGGTTAGATATCCAAACAGATTCAAAATTTTGGTATCAAGAGAACCAAAACTGAATCGAAATATTTCGGATATCCGAGTGTACTTAAACCAGATTTATATACTTAAATATATTAATTATTTTAAAATTTAACATCTAAGAATATACAAAATACATGAGATGTTTTTAAATTTTCCAAAATACTTAGAAATATATAAATTAGTTAAACATACATTTTAAAATAGCTAAACGATATTCCAAATACTAAAAATGCTTGACATATTTATTGATTTTTTCCAAATATTTTTGATAAACCAATTTAATGTTAAATTTAATTATTTTGGCATACATTTTTCAAATTTATATGCTATATATTGTTTTTATTTTTAGATTTTGAAAATTTTAAAGTTTATATGAACTTTAATCTTTTAAAAATAAAGGATAAATAGGTTATTGATAACAAAATTTTAAAGTTTATGTGAACCTAAACTCAAACCAAACCTGCAAAGATTTGAACCAAATCCGCAAAGATGTAAACCAAACATAACCTAACCAAACCAAATGGTACCCAAATATTCATCCCTAATCAAATGTAAAACAAAAAGTTATTGATAACAAAATATATATTTAGATACAACATTATTTTAAAAGTTTACCCCATGCATAGCGCAGGTTATCATCTAGTGTTCTTATGGTATTACAAAGTGAGTTAATGACAAATATCTGAGTAAAGGTAAATAAACTGTGTGAAGCAAGCAAACCATCATTCTCTCAACTACATAGGGAGAGAGTATCGAATTTGGAAACCCAAAATGTATAATAACCGTTCCTTAGGCTAAAAGAACAATAATTTGGTAATTATCAGACTTTTTAACACTGATTCAGAGGCCAGACTTTAAAGAGTTTTGATATTTGAGTGTGACGAAAACCTGAAGCCAATATGTGTGACATTCTATTAAGAAAAAGGAAATGAATTAAAGAAAGTGTCTCTTTGACTTATTGATGTCTATCTGCAATCACGTTTGGCTTCATTTCAATCCCATACTTCCCAGAATTCAAGAGATCATACCCATCTTTAGAGTTCAAATCAAAGTGCACAAACCCGGATTCCGGTTTAATACCTGCATCTTCTGTTTCTCCTGCATCTCTTTCTCCACATAACCGAAAATCATTGGTCAAGTCACCATTAACGTGTAAGATATCGGTAACCAAACCCGCCTTATTATTCTTGTGATCATCTCCTACAAGTCCTGAAAGTGCGAGATTGAAGTCTGAGAATTGACCCTTGTCTGTCTCTGCTCCATTACCACCACAGGGCATGCTCTTCTGTGCTTTCTCTAGTAAAGTCAACAAATACTTTCCTTGTGCTTCCATTCTCATCTGCAACTTTTTCTGCACCTATACACACCATCACAAAACATAGATTCAAGATTGTTTCAAGAGAACAAAAAAGAGCTTGTTTCCTTTCTTGTTACCTCGAGCTGTTCCTGAAACCTCTGTTGTGCATCGACTTGATGTCTCAACGTGTCAGCAAAAGGTACATTCCCACTTTGTCTGCGCGTTAATTGTTAACATATTGTCAAACCATATATACAAAATAAAAAATCTACAAGGCCATTGAGAGTAGCATTAATTACCTATGATGGTTATCAAATCTTGATTCATTCGAGATCCCTCCTTGAGAACAATTATCAAAATGCACATATGAACTTCCTGCGACGTTTTAGCATAAACTAGAATCAAAATTCTTCTTTTGCTTCCAAGTCCTCTACATCTAATATGTGTGTATCTTGTATTGTTGTACATGATCATTTACACATACATATAATAACATACCAGCATTTTCCTTGTTTTGCTCTAGTCGATTTTGTTTTTTGGCTTGCTGTTGACCAAGTCTATACTTCTACACAATCACACATTGTAAAATTAATTATGTAAAAGAGCCATAGCTAGTACAATATACAACATGTTACATCATAATAAAACTAAATTGCGTATATGTCTATGTGAATAAAAATAGAACCTGTAAATGGCTCTTGAGATGGTACAATGTTAAGCCTTTTAATCCCATCAGCTTCAGAACCGACTTAGGAGTTGCTTCTACAGATCAAATCCAAGAAAAATATCACTAACCAACCCATATGATTACAATGATTAAAGAATATAATCAATTAAGTTTTCAAAAAAGATAAATTAGGGAAAATAACGTCTTCCCAGTCTGTATATTCAATTATCCAACAGAGTTGATGAAAATTATAAACTGGTCAGAATTGAGCTAATCAAACCGGAGTAAACCGGAATCATAATAGAAAACCGGTTATATCAATAAACGAAGAAGGAAAAAAAAACAAGAAGAAGAAAGAGAAGTTTACTGTCTGCGCCACCAAGCTTTGCGACGGCGTCGACAAAACGATCATGGAGATCGGCGGTCCATCTCAGCCTCGGTTTAGGATCTCTAGTCATCATCACTCCACCATTCTCGTAACCTAAACCTCCTAGATTCACTCTCTCCATTTTCTTTCTCCAATCAAATATAGATAATGGCTAACGTCGAGGACGAGATCGGAAGGATGAAGCGTAACCTTGAAGATAAGAAAATGGCGATCAAGCTCGGAGATGAGAGTGCAACAGTGTTAAGAGAAATTGTTAAAAGATCGAAAACGAGAGGAGGAGAGAAAAAGAGAGAGAGAGAGCAGGTGATGAAGATAAGAGATTAAGAAACCATTTCAGGAAAAAAATCTAAGAGAGAAAGAGAGAATAAAAAGTCGTCGCGGTGATGATGGTGGAGGAGGCGAAGTGGAGACATGATTCGTCATCTAACGTCAACCTTCTCTTTTTATTTAAAAGAAAAATAACTGTGTTTGTATTTTTATTAAACGTTAAGTAACATGGAAGAGAGGAACATGGCCCGCATCATGCATATTTGTTTACTACTAGATTGTATAATGTCCAAAGAATTAATATAGTTTTTCGGGAATTATAATTTTGCAATTTGGATAGTTAAATGCTAGATTTCAGAATATTAAAGTCATATTGTAACTTATGACTAAAGTTTTTGTCTCATTCACAAACAATCAAATCTCTCTCCACGTTGGTCCTTTGTTTAGCTAGGTATCATACAGATTTATATTTTTTGTGTTGTCGGACTCGGATCCATGTTATTCTTCTTGAATTTCAGAAACACATGAATTTCATAAGTTTTTAATAGAAAAGGAAGTTGAGAAAACATAACAGTTCGATTCAATCATGCACATAACTCGTTTTGTCGTTTGTGTCCTGGTTAAAATGATTGTATTGTTGACTTGAGATATATGAAATAAATCATTTAGGGGGCAATACATGTTGAGCGGTAAAAATCAGTTTAAAAAAAAATACATGTTGAGCTGCGTCACGGCTCCTCAACGAGAGCGACATATAGCTTTCATTTTTCTATCAGTGATGATATGAATGACTTTTTTGCTATAATAATGATATATGAATGATATTAAAAATGTATCAAATGATTTACGAAAGGGAAAATTCCTTAAAAATACACCAATTGAGTTTATTTTGCTAAAAAAATACACCAACTTTTTAGACTTCCCGAAAAATACACAGAGTAATTTTGGTTGTCCACAAAATACATAAACTTTTGAATTTTGAAGGTTTCACACCTCGATTTTAACGGCGTTAACTCCGACTAACAGAATATTTAGACGCCGTTAGACGACGTTAACTCTGATTCAAAAGTTCATGTATTTTCTGGACAACCAAAATTAGTCTGTGTATTTTTCGGGAAACCAAAAAAGTTCGTGTATTTTTCCAGCAAAAAAAATTTAGTATGTGTATTTTTAAGGAATTTTCAAAAATACATTAAGGTGGCAAAGACATTGTTTTTTTTTTGTTTGACTGAAAAATGTAATTCTTTTTTAATATATTTTGTTCATATTGAGGCCGGTTTTTCTAGGGTTATTTCGGATCTATAATTAAAATACATCTAAAATACCGGTAATTTTGGATATGTATCATGTAATAGAGAATGTATTTTTGTTTGGGTCGGGTTTGGGCCGGTTTTTATCGGATCTAAGATATCCGGATCTAAGAACCGGCCCAAACCCGACTCAAAGACCTGAACAAAAACACATTCTGTTCCACATGATACAGATCCAAAAATTACCGGTATTTTCCACGTATTTTAATTATAGATCCGAACTGATCCTAAAAAAAACAGCCTCAATATGAACAAAATATAAATAAGCCAAAAAAAACACATTGTTCATATTAATACTCACGTATTTTAATATATTTTGAACAATGTGTGTATTAATATGAACAATGTGTTTTTAATATATTTTGAACAATGTGTGTATTAATATGAACAATGTGTTTTTTTGGCTTCTTTATATTTTGTTCATTTTGTTCATATTGAGACCGGTTTTTCTAGGATCAGTTCGGATCTATAATTAAAATACGTAGAAAATATCGGTAATTTTTGGATATGTATCATGTGGAAGAGAATGTGTTTTTGTTCAGGTCTTTGAGTCGGGTTTGGGCATGTTCTTAGATCCGGATATCTTAGATCTGAAAAGAACCGGCCCAAACCCGACCCAGAAAAAAACACGTTCTCTATTACATGATACATATCCGAAATTACCGGTATTTTAGATGTATTTTAATTATAGATCCGAACTGACCCTAAAAAAACCGGCCTCAATATGAACAAAATATATTCAAAAAAATTACATTTTTCAGTCAAACAAAAAAAAACAATATCTTTGCCACCTTAATATATTTTTGAAAATTTCTTAAAAATACACATACTAAATTTTTTTTGCTGAAAAAATACACGAACTTTTTTGGTTTCCCGAAAAATACATAGACTAATTTTGGTTGTCCATAAAATACATGAACTTTTGAATCAGAGTTAACGTCGTCTAACGGCGTCTAAATGTTCTGTTAATCAGAGTTAACGCCGTTAAAATCGAGGTGTGAAACCTTCAAAATTCAAAAGTTCATGTATTTTGTAGACAACCAAAATTACTATGTGTATTTTTCGGGAAGTCTAAAAAGTTGGTGTATTTTTTTAGCAAAAGAAACTCAGTTGGTGTATTTTTAAGGAATTTTCCCTTTACGAAAAGAAAGTAAGTGCATGGCGAGAGCATGTCACGTAGACTGCCAGCGTGGAATATTCGCCGGTGGACAAGGAGAATAGAATAATCCGAAAGTCACATGTTCGACGGTGGGGGCTTAAATGTAAATTCTTCACGGAACACGTAGACAAGCTCTATTGTCTTTTGTCTTTTGGCTTTACGTTTATTGATTAGGACCCACTTATAATACATGTGACTCGATGACCGCTTCGAGGGGAGATTCACGACGGCAGTCCTACATCTTGTCCTAACCAGACAGTGGGTTTCACTTAACGGCTTATGCTCCGTCCTCAAGTATGGTTTCACTTCGAATTGTAGAACTAGGTGTGCGGGTATTTAATTTTAGCGTTGCCACAATATATGCAGAGTCGGTCCTTGTACTGAGCATAACCCCGGGTTCTTAAGGTAGGATTCTTAGCGAAAATTAAAAAACTGTTTCTTAACTTTTAACTGAAAACGTAAAGAACTGGTTCTTAATAAGGACTTTAAGAACCGGTTCTTAGCGTTTTTAGTTAAAAGTTAAGAAACAATTTAACTGAAAACGCTAAGAACTGGTTCTTAAATAAAGACTTTAATAATCGGTTCTTAGCATCTATTCTATTAAAATAGAGTCATTCTTTTTATCTACTGATACAAGTTGTCATTTAAATTTGGACTCTTTCTAGAATGTTACAAATAATATAAGCCATATAATTGATTGAACCGTATTACTTAAATTAAACCAACACAATTAATATAAATAGACGACCTTAATGTAAACTACCTTCAAAATATGGCAGGTATCTATGTGTATACCGAAAACACATATTTCCTCCTACAAATATGGAATGTTCTTAAAAATATATATCATCAAAATATGGAATATGGTAATCTACTAATTATACTTAAACTAAACCCGTGGTTATTTATGAAATATAGTCTTGGGCTTACTTTTATTTTTTGAACAAATTATATAGTTTGGTTTTTGGGCTTAGTATTAAGAAAAAAACTCTAAAAACATTGAATAAACTTTTCACCTTAAAAGATCAAAAATCAATTATTATTTTCAGATCCAAAAGGTATTTATTATTTTTAACAAAACAAAATTATCTATTATTAATCATTTATTTAAATCATGTACTTTAAAACATGTTAATATATTTTTTATTCTAAATAACAATCACTTTGTTTTGATAAATTTCAATGGTAAATTTTAAATAATTTATTGTTTTATTTTTCTTAAATAATTTGCTGATTAAAAATGTAAAGCAAAACCAAAAACCAAATTTAAAAACTAAAATCCAAAACCAAAAGCTGAAAACACATGTTATATTTTTTTGCTTTGTTTATTTACAAAATAAACTATTTCAATTTTTTTTTTTAAATTTGTTGTCATCTTTTCAGTTTTGAATTAGATGTTCAATTATTTGAGATTTGTTTGTTGGTAATATTAGTTCAAACTAACTCAGCGGGTTTAAAAATTAAAAACCCAAACCAAAAACTGAAAATGAAAAGTAGAAACTTAAAAACTAAAAACCAAAAACCAAAATCTAAAAATAAAAACTGAAACTAAAAACTAATGAAAAATAATCATCACCACAAATTTTGGTGAACTGATTTTATATCAAAATATTCTTTAAACTAAGACAAAACCCAATTATATAATTTTTTAATCATAAAAAATTTCTGCGCTTTCAAGCGCGGGTCAAAATCTAGTTTTTAGTTAAAAGTTAAGAAACAGTTTCTTAACTTCCGCTAAGAACCCTGCCTTAAGAATTCTAGGTTAATCATGGTCTATAGAACTAGAAAAGAATATTAAAAAATTGCCTACAAATTAATCAATTGTAATTTTTTCTTTCAAACTCCTTAAAGGAAAATCGAATTCGATCCCCTTAATCATCATATAAACATCACAACCATCACTGCTGCTGATAGCTTTTGTTCGATTTGTGGCTGCTAAACTACATAATCTAATTGACGGCTGGAAGCAAAAGCTTCTCCCGCTTTCTCCCATCTCCATTAAGGGCCGACACTGAATATATGTTTATTGTATATGAATATTGTTATATTATCATTGGATTATCATTTGTATTGAATGTTATTTGATTTCTTATTATAATATTTTATACAATATTTAATGTACTTTTTATCCTTGAACTTTTAGCGTAAATAATGAAAAATTGCTAAATATGACTTAAAAATAATTTTAAATGCGAATTTATACTCAAACTTAAATCAAATGCAAAACTAACCTAAAAACCTTGTGAAATTACAGTCAGTTTCTTGTGATCAAACAAATAAACAGAAATCAGTTTTATGAATATAGCCCGGTAAATCGTCTAAGATGCTGGACGTCGTCTAGATAACTTTCAAGTTAGTCGTCTGATGTAGTGGATCTTAAAAATAATTTTAAAATTTTTAGAAAAATATTTTGACAAGTGAAAAATTAAGATCATGTAATTATAAACAGTTTTAAGTGATGTATATTAAGATATAATAAAACTGAATAGTTTTTAACAAAGATGAGTGAAAGTAGTTGATCATGACATTCTTTAGTATTAGGGTTTGACAACATATGTTATAGTATTGTATGTATTCTTAGGGTTAAATTTTAAAAATCTTGAAGGTTTTTTGAAAAATTAAATTTTACCTATATTTGTTTATTTATGTGTATAATA